TTTAATGAATCCCAAAGTTTTGGATACACACTGATAAAATCAAACCAATGGCGGCCTACGGAGATGTAGCTTGGCTCACCAAATGTCAACAGACAACCACAAAACTACAACGGGCAGCATGACCTTAGCATAAATTGTGCTATGCGAGCAACGCTAACGAGAGCAATGGAAATGATGCTGGGCTTGCCATCACTAGAAACTAATCTGGAACAAGTGGCTCCGGCAACAAAGGTGCGCTTCAAATCAGTTGGTACGCAGCCGAGTATAGGGTGTGGGATGACTAGAAGCCGGCAATGGAACACGGCAATTACAAATATGCCCCTTCTGCTGGCTGATACAGACAGCATTCCTGCAGAGTTTATCTTTGATCAACCCTATGCTATTTCCACAGCTTCTGAAAACCAGATCGACGAAGGTGTCAGTAAAGTATTCGTTAACGGATCTAAGACAAATTATTGGGGCTGGCTGCAGAAGCCTCCGAATGAATTGCAAGTGACACAGGTCGAATTAGTTGGCATAATCTTGGCTACAAACGGAGTTGTTCACAGGAATATTACAGGCAAAAGTATTAGGATATGCACGGATATAGCAGGCAGGCTATACTGACTGGCAGTTGTTCCAAGCTTACAACGAGAACAGTACTAGACAGCCGCGTTTGGCACTTGCACGGGCATCCATCAGTAACAACATAACCGTTGCCTGAAGATGATGATGATTCACAATCCAAGACTAATATTATAGGTGATAAACTGACAAAAAAAGCAGCTGATACTAGGCCCAGAGCCCCTCTGAGTTTCACCCATCGGAGCCCTAACAACTATGCTAAGAGAAAACACCCACAAAGTCTTCAAGAAGATGTGGGATAATACGCCATACTGCTCATTCGCTAATTGATTCCTCAGCCATCTTGCTAAGGAAGTAGCAATGCACTACCTGTCTAAGTCCAGACGACAACTTCGATTTGACATTGCGACTGGACACTACTATTCGTCATTTGTCTGTCTTGGCGGTCCGTAAGACCTTTATATCTTATTTACGTTCGAGTTTTTGGTTTGAGTAACAGTTGTCGATTGTTGCAGCAGTGTCAGTGTAGGTGCGTTAGTGCTGACGTCCAGCGTGCGTTTAGGTAATATGACGCTGTTTGTTAAGCGTACTTAGGTAACTAACCGATATATTATTTTGGTAGTAAAAAATGAATACCTCTAATTTAAAACGAAAAAAGGGCGTCGTCGAAAGGTAGTGGGAAAAGAAAAAGGGGCGCTTGGCTCAAGAAGCAAAAAAATTTAAAAAATTACAATCAAGTACATCAGCACAAGACAACACAATTCTATCTGTGTCCGCCACAGACAGTTCCAGAAGTCCAGACAATGGCTGCGTCATACTAAGTGAACTGCAAAACACGGAAAGCGAAAGGAACATTGACGAGTCGCAGGATCATTTGTCAACAAAAGAAGAAATGGTCAACGATGAACAAATTACACATAATCCAAGTCCGAACTCTGAAATTAGAAATAATGTAGAAGATCAGGATTCGGATTATTTTTTCAAAAGACCTACTAAAGGTGAATTAAATATATTTGTTTCAATATCACCCCAAAGTCCCAAAAAGTCACGAGAAATTTAACTGTCAGGCAGCCTTCAAAACTAGTAATGGAACCCCATGACAATGGTTAACATATAGTTCATCACAAGATGCGTTGTTTTGCACGGTTTGTTTGGCATTTAGCAAAAGCACAGATACTAGTGCTTTTATTACTGGTATGTCAGATTGGAGGCACGTGTATCAACGTATTGAAGAGCCCCAAAATTCCGTAGGGAAGTTATTCCTCTGCATATTTTCGATTTTGTAGTAATACTTCAATTAATAAACAATTATTTACACGTCAACTGGCTTTGCAACAAAAAAATATAACAAGGAATAGGCAGGTTTTAGATAGAATTAAAAATGTAATGAAACTGATTGGAAAGAGGGGTTTAAGTTATAGAGGAAGGGAAAACGAAGCATGTTACTCACTGGACAACGATTCAAGATTTCTAGATATAATATTATTGATATCCAAGTACGACGTAATAATGAGGAAACACTTGAATAAAATAATTCCACAGAGCAAAGAAATACATGATCAAGGAATAAGAAATCGCTCTGGAGATTTTACATCTTTTTTGTCAAAAACTACTCTTAACTATATAATTGACATTATCTGTAAAAAAATGAAAAAAATAATTTCAGACGAAATTCGAGAAGCTGGAATGTATTCTATAGAAATAGACACAAGTCAAGATGTGTCTACTACAGATCAATTATCTCTTGTAATCAAATATGTATTTCATGCACAAGTTTTTGAGAGATTGCTTTCATTTGTCGACTGTCGTGATTCTACAGGAATCGGGATTCACAATTTAATAATAAATGAAATAGAAGCAAATAATTTAAATAAAACGCTGTGCATAGCTAACTCGACTGATGGTGCTTCAAATATGCAAGGAGTTTATAAGGGATTCGTTGCTACAATAACAAAAGAAAAGATTGAACACGTGCATACTTGGTGTTACAGACACATATTAAATTTGATTATTGGCGATCTTATGAAAACTAGTATTAAAGCGTCATATTTATTTAGTTTACTAAACAAAATAGCCGTGTTTTTTAAGGAATCATATCAACTTATGTATGTTTGGAATAAAATAAATATAGATGATGCAAAGAAGAGAAAATTACAGACCATTGGTGAAACGCGTTGGTGGGCGAAAGAATCAGCTCTCACGAAAATATTTGGCACCTACGGCTCTTCAACAAATGCACTGTTTATTAACTTTTATTTGCCTTAGAATCTATCAAAACTACTTCAACCATAAATCCCGATGTTCGTGCTATGGCTAAAAATTACCGAGAATCTTTACAAAAGTATGATGTTATTCTAACTGCTAATGTGTTTCTTAAGATTTTTTTTCTATAATAGGGTTGTTATCTTGATATTTGCAAACAGAAATGTTATATTTAATCAAATGCAACAACATGGTAGAAACAGCCCTGAAACAATTAAAAGATTTTCAAAGAAATTTTCCTGACATTCAGAAAACCACCGATAGTTTTGTGATGTGGGCGCTAGATAAAATAGACAAAACTGACCCAGAAAATAGTGACATTAATATTGAAATCGATTTACCAGAAGTACGGACAAGACGAGTTAAAAAAATGGCAGGAGAAGGGTCTTCTGATTAAAGATCGGGGAATAAAAATGATATATACAAAATAGAGACATTTAACGTCATTCTTGATACTATCGTACAGTCAATGGAAAACCGCTTTCAAAAAAATGTGATATGTAAGGATTTTATCTTGGATACTAAGAATTTTAGTGATATAAAAGAAAATATCCCCAAAGATAGTTTAAAGACTATGTCCAAAAAACTTTTATTAATCAATTCAAATGTAACTCTTGATGGTCTGCATAATGAATTGGAAAATTTTATATCAAACTGGGCCTCATTAAAATTAAATATTCAGGACCACTATTCTTTAGATTTTAAAACGGAATGAGGGAAACAGTACTCAGTGTAAAAGCTGTAAAAATTGTGCTTTGTGTTGTTATTTTATAATATTTATGTACAATATGTACCAAGAAGTATATCCCACGCTTGCCTTAGCCTAAAAATACTTACTTACATAACCAATCTCACAAGTAGCTTGTGAAAGACCATTTTCTAAGCTAAAATATATTAAAAACCGACTACGAAGTACAATATCACAGTTGCGGTTGGAAGCATTCATGATAATGATCTGCGAAAAGGAAATTTTAAATAGAATTGAAAATGACGAAATCATTAATGGTTTAGGGCATATAGGCACAATGTTTTCAAAAAATTGATGTATTAACTTTGTACATTTGGTCTTTTTTGTAAATTTTATGTTGTTTATGAAATACTTACTTAAGCGTACTTATATAATTTTGTATTTTTGTTTTCAATACTTGCGTGTTAGTTTGTTATGTTAATTTAGTTTGCAATGTGTAAAATATATTTTTTTATTACTCAGTAAATGACTGTTAAAAATAGTAAAATAATATATTAACTTACTTTATAATATTTATATACCTATAAAAATGGAATTTTCAATTTTTTTCGCTTTTCAACTCATCTGCCTATCCTAATAAATTATCCCAAGCCGCCGATTCGACGGCGCAGTAGGTTACTGAATTCGCCGACCCGATCCATCCCATCCGCGCCTGGATGAACTAAAAACAAATTTTGATTCAGGCTTTGTAATTTTGAGTTTATTAAAACTTCGACTGGACACTGTCAGCTAAGGAAGCATCTTCGTATAATGAGACTGAGTGACACATCCGCATGGAGAGATTCTGAACAGGAAGATGAGACAGTCAAGCATTTGCTTTGAGAATGCCCAGCTGTCCATCAATCCGGAAGCTCATTCTGGGACGTTGACCTTCTATGGCTAGTGTAAGAGCAAATGAAGTCGCATCACTACCTTTTTCAATAGTCTGGACTGGCGGACGAATCAGCTTTGAGTAACCCTAGGAATGGTTGGACAATGGGCCCATTGGTGCCTAAGCGCTGTGAACTTGGCCGATAGCCCTTTTAACTATACAGAATACATAATGTTTTAATGCATGAAATATGGACAATACTACTTCCGATAATGAGAGCCGTACTCCATATCAGGCCAGAACAGAGAAGAAAATGACAAATATGTTCTAGCTCAAAATAAATAGCCTAGCTGTTTCTCACTGTCAGCGGTAATTGGCAAGAAGAAAACCACTACTGCGCCTCCTCCTAGAGCAATTCTTAGATCAGCGAATTCGTCGTTCATCTATTAAAAATTGAAATAAAACTGCAAATGAAGCTTAAATTGATTTAATCAAAATTATTGCAATATATTCACAAGATGGAAACTTTTTATTTGGTATGGTCCTTGATCCTTCTTATAGCCGCCTTGCAGCAGTTGTAGCGCATACTTAAGCGCCACCAGCAATAACATTATTTCATCTTTTGGAGGTCAAAATTCGTTTCATGCTATCCTTTCCACAAAAACTGCAGTTGTGCTTGATATGCTGGGTGATTTCTATCTTCTTCACCATCTTTCTAAGCGAGGCACCGTACCTTGTATCATACTCTCCAACTATCCCTATCTTCTAAGTACGTTTTGCCATCTTGTACTGTGTTAAGTGAGAAATACAGCTTAAAATGCACTGAAGATATTCAGCAATGCAGAGCAGTTAGGCTGATGTCCACAGCTTCCGTCTATTGTTTTTCTTTAAGGTTTATTTTTACGAATACTGTGCTTATTCCAACCACACTGCAAAAGAAAACTAAGTATAAAATGGCTGATAAGTGTAATATATAATTTTTGGAATTAGCATGTATTTTATTTTTTTCTATAGGCATTTTAGCAATGTCAGACATTATTTTTGTCTGGACCTGGTGACCTTTGAACTTGGAAATGTGACTTCATTTTTACGTCTAATGACACTCCGCTATTAAATCTTGTACAAGTGGTGCACTCCAGCATTGTGCGTGTTAGATATGCAGCTTTAGCTGTGTTTACACGTAATTTATTTCAAAACCATTAAGCTATATGTAACTCCTGAAACTTACCTTTGGTTTTTGTTTTCATGGGATTTGTTATTTGGCGAATCAAACTACTTATTTGTTCTTATTTATGTTTATTGTACGACATTTCGGCCACCACGGCTACTTTTACTTCCCACGCCTACTAGCGAGGAAGAATTGTAATCGAAAAAAGTTTTGAAAATGAGATATTATGTTTTTTTATGTTATGTGACATCACGATAAACCATGTCACTAATTTCCGTCGATCGGTGTCTGTCCACTAATCCTTGGCCCGTCTATAACTTAATACTTGAGTAGCTATAGCACAATTTTGTAACCACCACTACTGATACTTAAGGACAACGCAAATGTGACAGTTGGGTACCCAAAACGTAAATTACACCAATTTTGTGTATGAAAAATAACATTTCCATTTATATTTCGGTTTCGATATTCATTTAAATACACATTCCTTGACATGACGACTCGCATCAATGTTTTTATCGATTTGCTTTTGTTAAAGTTTTTCCTGTTCCCTGAAGCTTTCTCACAAAACTGGTGAATAACTATGATTATAAACGCATTTGCCTCCGGATATATGACTATAATATATGGAAGTTTCTTGGTATAATAATAGACATGTCTTTAAGCATTAAATTATCATTCATACTAGGCATATGTTGGTTGTTTTGATAGTTAAACCATAAGAAATTATTATGTCGTATCATGGAGTCTTAAGGCTTGCTGAATGGATGAAACTTACTTGATATTTTATATAAAATAGTTCTTAAATATTATCCAAACCTTCAAAGCATCTGGGCGGTGCATTGACGTAGTGGTAGACACTACGTGTCTGCTTATCAGTCGCTGTGAGCTGCACAAGCTCGAATCCCGCCAAAAGCGAAATTTTCTCTTGGATATGAATGTTGTGAGTGTCCATCTGTCGACCCGGCGGATCTCCAAGGCGTAGCCAGAATGTGTGCATGTCGCATGCACACGGGTTCGCTAGATAGAGTACATCCTTCTTTCCACTGTATCCCCCTATAGCCCCACGGTACCTACCAGTGTTTAGGCCTCAGGCCGTCGTGGTGGTTCATGTAAAAAAAGCGTTGATATCTTTAATGTAACAACTGAGACTTATCATGTAACTTTCACGCTGATACAACTCTATTTTTCTCTGGCCCGATACAGTCATATATTTTGAAATTACATTATTATTTGAGGATAGTAGCCGAAGATTGCATATCAGACAGTGGAAACAGTTCTGGGTCGATGGTCTTGAAGTCGTCTTGCGTTTTCAGGGCGATGAGCAGGAATGACTTGTCTTATAATGGGTGATTTTTTTGCTAGTATTTTTTTGGCAACACTGTTTCTGGCAGATGACGCGTGAATCGTGTCTTGTGTCAATGTCAAACTTGTTCAGTTTGGTCTATAATTTAACCATGAATCGAGTTACAAACGAACAACGTTTGCAAATTATTGAATTTTACTATCAAAATTCATGCTCGGTTAAGAGAGTGCATCCAGCACTGCTTCCAAATTATGGGCAATTTGGTCGGCTTACTGAGGGAGCTATTCGGAAGCTTGTGACTAAATGCCGAACCCAGTTTACATTATTGGACATTAAACCACCAACACGCAGACGTAGAGTGAGGGCTGAAGAAAATATTGCAGCTGTATCCGCCAGTGTTAGTGATGACCGTGAAATGTCGATTCGCCGCCGTTCGCAGCAATTGGGCTTCTGTTACTCCACTACGTGGAAAATTTTGCGACAGGATTTGGGTGTAAAACCTTATAAGATACAGCTGGTGCAAGAATTGAAGCCACACGACCTCCCACAACGTTTCCCATTTGGTGAATGGGCGCTGGCAAAGTTGGAGGAAGATCCACATTTTTATCGAAAAATTGTGTTCAACGACGAAGCTCATTTCTGGTTGAATGGGTACATTAACAAGTAAAATTGCCGCATCTGGAGTGAAGACCAGCCAGAAGCATTGCAAGACCTACCAATGCATTCCGAAATTATCACTGTTTGGTGTGGATTATGGGCCGGTGGCATCATCGGGCCGTACTTCTTCAAAGACAACAATGGCCGGAACGTAACTGTGAATGGCGAGCGCTACCGTGCGATGATAACAAACTTTTTTTGTCCAAAATCGAAGAGCTGGACTTGGCTGACATGTGGTTTCAACAAGACGGTGCCACATGCTATACTGCACACGAAACAATGGCCCTATTGAGAGGGGAGTTCGGTGATCAGTTTATCTCACGTCTGGGGCCCGTCAATTGGCCGCCTAGATCGTGTGATTTAACGCCGTTGGACTATTTCTTGTGGGGCCATGTTAAGGCTAATGTCTACAGGGATAAACCAGCAACGAATGACGTACTGGAAGCCAATATTGAGGCATTTATTCGTGAGATACCGGCCGATATGTTGGAGAGAGTGTGCCAAAATTGGACCTTGCGCATGGGCCATCTAAAGCGGAGCCGCGGCCAACATTTACATGAAATAATCTTTAAACATTAAATCATATCGACCGTTCTATCGACTCAAATAAAGATTTAATCGTTTTTTTCAAATTTTTGTGTTTTTTTTAAATCAAATCCTATACCTCTTAAAAATCACCCGTTACATCCAAAACAACAGATGCACCGCTTGTGGCTTTGGACGGGCCAGTCGTCTTTTATGAGCAGGAATGCCTACCCCAGGCAATCCTGAGGTTTGCTGGTCTTACGCAGTGCCATGTTAAAATTGTAATGAACTTCGCCCGGTCTTGGTACAGGACCTATCATGCTGTTGATGCAACACACTGTAGCACAGAAAAACAAGTGAACTCTCACATAGCAAACAGATGAATATAAGATATGTTGGCATGACCACTAAACTTTAGTTTAAAAAATGCTACCGTAGTGGCCGAAACTGTAAAGAGTAGTTTATACATATGTAGTTTAATTTGACCAGCCTAAAGTTGAGTTTTATGGATATAGGTATTTCTTTCTTTAAGAATGTGCCAGTGAACTTTGCTCCTTTGGACTCTTCTCCATGATGCTGTGTCATTCTATATCTGCAATGTGGCGTCCATAAAGCCTTTGAAAGCATTATCTAGCTAGCTCTACTACCATAACTTTGAGCCACCTCCGTCACATGTAGGTGGCGCCTCAACATGTTTTAGCCAGACAACAATCCCAACAGCAATCTTAGGTAGTCTATATCCAAGGATAAAAGCAAAGCACTAAGTCATAAAATGTGCTCGCTTCCCTGACAGAGGTATGTTGCCTAGATCTCCACTCCTCTGTCATCCTCCTCACTCTGTGTGTACGTCCGTCATCATTTTCCCGTACCCCAGCTTGTTGCAAAACCCACACCTACTACTGTATCTGAATTTCAGCTCTAGAAGAAAGTATTTTTTTAGTTTTTAAAGCTATACACAATTTTAAGAAAAACTGAAAATAAAAACTACACCGTCGACCACACGTCAAGAAGCGTCAGTAGTCACAAAATGCAAATTTGATGCATATCGTGGAATACCGTCAACCAAATACGCTGTCGGTAACAATTCAAAAAATTATGTATAACAGACGCAAAACGTCTTGCTAGTCGATTCAAAGGATGGAGACGTTGTAGCAGATAAATGAAACTCATGATATTAGCAAGAACATTAATGCAATTAAACAATTTTAGGACAAAACATCTACGTTTCGTCATGTCCAAATATAGAGAACATCCTACAAAGCAAATGGAAAAAAGCAAGAGTAGATTTCAAAGCATTACAGAACCAGAGGTATAGTGAGGTTATCGGGTTATACAAGATTAGGCTGAGAAAATTAAGGAAATGGCTGCGGTCATGAATAGGGCTGCTGAAACTGATGCAAGTCGGCAGATGGCAAACAAGGAACTAGTTTGAATGTTGAAAATATAAAATCAGGCCTTAGGGGAATGCTTGATATTGCTTGCAGTTATGGCAACTTGAAGAGAGAAGATAAAACAATTCAACAGCCGATTTTCGAACAAATTTTTGTTTTTTGTAATCCGTCCTATTGTATTTTTTTATGATATGCATTACTTTTTCGAAATATCTGTATTTTTTTAATTAATGGTAAACATACTACAAGAATAGTACTACAAAATCAAAGTTGAATGAAGTGTCCTTACTCACTGATAAATATTGTGTATTACTGTTGTACTGTGTGGTTAGTCACTTTACAACAGCAGTTACGGTGCCTCGGTATTTAGATTTCTTCTTCTCAGTATAAAAGAAATATTATTTTTTGGAACAGCTGTTTTTTTATTGTACGTAGTATTTCTACACCAAATATAACAAAATTAAGGGCCGTATCGTCAGTCCTACATATTGTGTATTATGGTCTCCTTGATTTTCATAGTCTTTTATCTCCTTCAGACAGGCTGGGCTATTTCTAGATCTCTACTATTCCGGGTCAGTATCAGCGCTCTCTAATTATGTAGCTATATTTTCTTTTTGAATTGTAGGAAATTTCAGGCTGATATAACAGATGATACCAATCAAAA